ACACTTGGGGCTATTGAAAAAAAATATATTGAACATTGCCAAATTTGTTAAATTTTGAATTTTTGAAAATCGTCAAAAATGACGATCTATATTAATATTTTGGCTTAATTTTTTTTGTATAATGCCTTGTACTGGTCTTAAAAGATCCTGAAATTTTTAGAACTGTGTTTTTTTTTAAATATGAATTTTTCAATTTCAAAAAAAAAATTTCTTTTGTTTTTCGCAACTTCTAAATAATGTAAAGTTATGCAGATATATAGTATTGTAATTTTGAGCATTAAAAATAAATGCACGACGTGGAAATATTAAATAATAAATTAATTTCAACTTTTTTTTCTATTTTTTGAACGTAATCTTAAAGTCAGGCTTAACACATAATATAATTTCTTATTTTTTTAACGCATGATATATTTTCTCCGTTTGTTCACTTCAATAAAAGTTTTTAACGTCAAATAACTCAAATAGATGTTAATTTCCAATAACAATCAGAAATAATGTGGTGAGAATATCAATTTTTTTTCGTTCTTTTGAGTACTTGTTTACTTACAAATTTCTGCATATTAATGTTGCTCAATCTCAAATTTTAAATCATTTTCATGTTAATAAGACGATAACTGGCGTCGACAACTTTAAATGAAGTAAAGTGAAAAAAAAAATCACAGTTCTAAAAATTTCAGGATCTTTTAAGATCAGTACAAGGCATTATACAAAAAAAATTGAGCCAAAATTTTAATATACCCGGGTCAAAAAATTTGAACGTTTTTTAATCTAAATAATCTGTATTTGAACTTGACAATCGGTTTTTGTACTTTAATAAATAGTTGAAAATATTTTTAATCAGTTTTTGATCTGTTTAAACTGTTTTTATACTATTCCGTGAATTTTAATTTGTTTTTCGTCTATTATCTTGTGTAATACTTGTATTACGGAAGATTAAAACAAGACTAATTATGGAACTTAGAAAAAATTTTTCGTTAAAATTTTATCAGAACAAAACAAGACAAACTCATACTTATAATTTTTTAACTTGCAAGTTACGTCTAATAAATTATTCTAAGTTATGTTTTGTTCGTACAAAATTTTAGCGAAGAATTTTTTTTAACTATAACTATATTGCTCTAATATTTATTGAAGTGAATACTGTGTGGGAGTGACTAAATTTTGGAGTCCTTGCTAAAAAACGTTTTTTTTTTTCATGTTGAAGTTCTAAAGCAGTAGAATAAGTAGTTATTTAAACAATTTGATATTTTCGGAGCGTAATTATAGTCTCCTATGTATAATCTTGAGGAAACGGACCAATTATTTCTTTTTGATAACTATTTATCATACAAAAAAACAATTTGTTAAATTTTTAACCATAAAATCAGGAAAATAATAATTAAAAAATCACAAGGTTTACACATAACTATTATGCTTTATTTAAATAACTTTTGCAACAATTAGAACATTTTTTACATGTAATGGATCAAATATATACATTGCAAAGTTATGAACTTTGAGCTTTTGTGTGAAAAAAATTTTCAAGAACATTGAACTTTTACATGAAATATATAGAAAAATATATTTGTATGATCGCAGGTAATTAAATGATAATTAATATTTGCTAAAATTTATTCACGCTCATGACTGTTGATTCGACATCCTAAAAATAGTTTATTATCATCGTAGACACAATAACACACGCTTATTAAATTTTCAACAGGAATTGAGCTGATGTTATCTGTTACTTTACACTCATACAAGTAAGGAAGCTCAAATCCATCCCCGTCAAACGTAAATTTAACATTATCCTTGATCTCAATTAAGTTTATAATGGCGAAATGTAATCCGTTGCATAAACATTTATTGCCAGAACCATGGAGACTAGATAAGGAGCCCGAACTCAAACGGGATAATTGACAGAGTCTGCCCACTAAAATCGTACCTGTTAAGTTACCTTTTTTCACCACTAGCGTCGCTAATGTTCCTTTTGTACTGACGTGAATATAGCATCGTAAATACATGTGAAGTGAGCAAGTAAATATTTTAACCGCATTTTTTGTAAGTAAACAAATGTGTTGAACAATCTCGTGATATACTTTAAATAATTTTGTAAGTTCTATTTTTATAAAAAAATAAAAAATGGGTAGGGTGTGTGCTATTAAAAATTGTAATAGTGGAAGTGCCGCTGATAAAAAGCGACGGAGTCAATTAAATTTAAAAGGTCCAGGATTTTTTAAAGTACCACAGGTAAGTAAAAATATTAAAATATTAATAGATAAATAAAACGAAAAAATTCAATGAAAATTAAGTTAGCCGATATCTAAAAATTTTTAGAATTTTTTTTTTCATTGAAAAAATTATTATAAAAAAATAAAAAAAAAATTTCATTTGTAAAAAACTTGAAAAACTGTAAGTGCAATTTCAAAAAAATATTTTTAATTCTAATTTAATTATTAAAAAAAAAATAAAAAAAAACAAAAACGTCGGCTAACTTTAGTATCATAAAAATTCATTTTAATAAAATCAAAATTATTTTCTCTTATATTAATTTAAAAGTGTTGCTTTCGTTTGTACTCAAGTTAACTTAAAAATATCTTATTACCGCCGTATGTAATTTTTTTAATACACTAAAAAATATATTGTATTTTGCTTTACTGCGTGTTTGAACAGTGTCCAATAAAACGTCAGCAGTGGATAGACTCGTTAAAAACAGAATTAAATGATCGTCAGTATGTTTGTGACTTGCATTTTCATAATGATGCAATTCAAAATTCTTATCATATAAATTTACCAAACGGTGAAATAAATAAAATTACAAAAGGTAGAATAACTCGTATCCCAGGATCAGTTCCACTGATTTTCAATGTCAAATAATCTTCAATTATTGATGACTGTAACATCCAAGCTTTGAATGAGATATCAAGGATGTCTCAATTAATACATGAGCAACATGAACAACAAAAGCAGCAGCATCAAGCGAGTGGAGAATACCAGGGTCAATTGTTGGATGAGATATCAGAGAAGCCTGAATCACTACAGCAATATCAACAAAACCAGCAGCAGCAACAGCAGCAAGAAATTGAAGAGAACCGAGATCAATCTTTGAATCTGACATCTGAGTTACTACCTGAACAAAATCAGCAGCGGCGAGTAACCGAAGAACAATTTCATTTTGATGACGTAAGAATAGAAAACCAGGAACAGTCACATCAGATGAATCAAGAAATTGAAGAAATCAATAACAATTTACCACAACATAGATTACCAGTGAAACAAAAATTAGAATATCCTGATGAAATTGAGAAATCAAAGCGGCAAAAATATTCTGAGCATATTGATATTAACCGCCATGTAAATATATTTTTTTTTATCATCCTTTAATCAATCTTTCCAATAGTTTTAACAAAAATCCTAAAGTACAATTTTTATACCGTGTTATAAATATTTAAATATAAAGTCTGTATTGTTTGCATGAAATCAAATGAAATTTCATTATTCTAGATAAATTTTGATAATGATGCTGAAATTATAACCATCATTACTGAACTGAACAAGTTGTTTCCAATTGGTTGGAGCTTTTTACTTGGTATTAATAAATTAATAGCGATTCAGTTTGATCGTATTAAATTTAAAGAAAGACTGTGGTTGGTCCTGGATGAAGATAAATCTGTATCGGTAAAATAATATATGATTAAACTATTTATTAAAAAAAAATAAGTTTTGTATTCATTCAGTAATGAGCTAAAACCTTGAATGCAATTTATTTTATTTGTTACAGGTAACATTTTTAGAGAATTATGAAAAAATAATTGATGTAGAAATAAAATCGGTCAATGATTTAATTGATTGTTTAAAATCTATGGAACAAAAAATATTATGCACTGGAACTGGATTTGATAAAAATAGGTATTATTTGAAATTAAATTGTTTTCGTATTTACTTTATATAATACAAGGGTACTGAATTATCAGAAAATTAAATATGTATTCTAAATAAATAATTGTTCAATTTTAAAAATTTTTTAAAACTAGGTACTCATTGAAATGTCATGCTGACGTGACTGATAAATACAAACGTTATTGTCAAGCTTGTCCAAGATGTCAAGAATGTCAAAAACTACGTTTAAACTTACAAAAAAAAGAAAAAGGTCGAATCCTTAATAGTAAGAACAAAATGAAAAGAACTACTTCTAAAGCTACCAATCTGGAACTCTATAAAAAAACAAAACGTATCCAACAACAGGTATAATTAAATTTTTAATCAGTTTTTTTTTACAAAAGGTAATTGTTATCGTTGTAATTTACTCAATTATTTATTTATTATTCTTACACAGAATCAAATCTTAAAATGATCATTGTCATTGAGTATTTTTCAACTGCGACGTTGATAATAACGTTTTTTATTGTTACTTAAAATTGTTCAAATTTTTTGTTAATAAGTTTTTTTAATTATTTCAGCTGCAATTATCTACATCAAAATTACGTGGCATTCAAAGAAAAATAAAAACTGTATATCAAGGTCAATTTAATAAAAAACTATCTTTGCTACCGAAACAACAACAAATAACAGTGAGAATGTGTTTTGAAAACTCCCAAAAGAAGGGTCCAACTGGCAGGAGATATGAAACTGAATGGATCTATGAATGTCTTCTCATACGGATGAAAAGCACTTGTACGTACAATATGATTCGAGCAAGAAATATAATTCCTCTACCAACTATCGACACGGTATCGAAGTATATACAAAAAATTAGTTCGTCAATTTTTGGATTTTTACCCGAAACGTTTGAAATTCTACGAAAAAAAGGAGAATCCATGGCACCTGAAAATAAAATTGGCCAAATATCAGCTGATGAGGTTAAACTTCTGGAAAATATTGAGTTCAATAAAAAAATCGCTGAGTATACTGGTTTTGTGGATCTTGGAAAGTATACATCAGAATCTGATAGTGGAGATCTGACGTTGCTGGAGATCATGCTCTCGTTTTCATGTTTGTACCGTATCGGGGAAATTCTGCTCAACCTTTAGGATGCTTCATCACAAAAAACTGTATAACTAGTGAAGTTCTTCATAAGTTATTTTTAGAATGCATTATACTTGTAGAAAATGCTGGTTTCCGTGTGAATTCTCTAGTAACTGATGCTGCTCAATGGAATCGAGGAGATTGGACGAAATTAGGAGTCGACACGAATAATATTAGTTGTGAACATCCGTGTGACTCTAGCCGCAGATTATATATGATATCAGACTTCCCACATTTATTAAAATGTTTTCGAAACGGTTTGGTTGAGTTGGATGAATTTGAGGTAATTATTTAACAAATTTTTCCACAATTTAGTATATAGCTTTTTCAAGAAAGGCTAAACAGTTTCTACGTAATATAAGTAATGTTGAAAGGTTTTATTTATATATGATAGGTGGTGAGGTTTAAAATAATGCGTGTACAATTTTTAATCATTTTTTATATCCTAATAATTAAAGTAAGGTTATTTTCTGATAGACACCTGTAGGAGTGGTTAAAAAAAAATATTGGGAAAACCTTTTGCTGGTAGAGCAATTTGAAAAACCTAATTTGGCAATGGCTTACAAATTGACACCTGCCCATTTAGATCCTAAACTGTACCAAAAAATGTCTGTTCCAATGGCTTATCAGGTAAAACGATAAATTTTTAATGACTTTGGATCATACTTAATAAATCGTATTATTAACAGTTGTACTCGCGTGAAGTTCGTTGTGCAATGACAATTTTACGAGAAAATGGAAATGAAAAATTTTAAGGTTCAGAACCAACCGAGAAATTTATCAAAATAATTGATGATGGCATCCAAGCTATGACTTCGCACGATGCTAAGAGTGCACTATACTTTGAGGATACTTGTGAACAAAAGAAGGTAATGAAGAATATAATTTCATTCATAGAATTAATTAAAAATTTTCATGTGGCAATATTTTTTGTTGTGGATATTTTATTACAAAAGTTTTTGTATAAAATTTTTTTATTCTAATAATTTACCTGCATGATTTATTTACCTCATTCTATCAAAAATTAAATTTTTAATAAAAAGGAACATTTTGTAGTAAAAAGAGTGTCATGAATCAGTAGACTTTATAATTTGAGCTACAATTACACAATTTTCGTAATCAAATAAATTAGGCTAAGAAACTAACTTGATTTATCAATTACTTTAACTACATTCTTCATGAAAACAGCTAACTTACTTTCTTAATTTTTCTCAATGAGGAAGCTTAAGCAACTTGAACAATTATTTTTTTAAGGTTCGTTTGGAATTCATCTTTTCTTACAGTATGAGAAACATTAGTATTATTTATTACTTGCAAAAATCATTGATTATATATGTTCATCTATTCTCTAATTTGCCTTATTACTAACATCTTTGGGGTTTAAAATATCGATGTTTTGGATGTAAAAAAATACAAAATTTCAATTTTTTAAAAATTCAAGAGCTAATAATTAAATATTTTAATGCGCGTACTTACCATACTTATAATACACAGAAAGATAACTAATTTTCTTGAGTTTCGATAAATATTTCTTGCTCCAAAACAACCTCGAATTTCCATTAAAATTTTCTTGTTTAAAGTAAATAACTTTTTCTGTGTATTGTCAGTAATAAAATAGATATAAATATTGAAAATGTTTGGAAATGCTTTAATTTGCTTTTATGTGTTATTTTGCTTTCAGATTTAGATCATATTATTCGAAATTAATATTTTATGCTTTTATACTTTCTTGTTAAATCTTAAATATATAATTATTACTAACTTTTCATATGCTTTTTTACTAAACATTAATTTAAGATTACAAGTCTTATAAAAAGATGAATTATAATTAAATTTCAATGATTTACAGAATGATTGTAGCTGACAATGGATTCAATAATTTTCATCGTATGCTGTCTTCTATCAATACTGTATCATCTGTTATACTCTGGTAATCGACGTCACCACAGACTCCAAAGATTGATAGAATCAATAAAAAAAATTATTCCTATTTTCAGCGCATTTGCAAATTTTTATTCGTGGATAAACAGTTGAAGAAATCAAATCGGATAAGAGTAGTAATACAAAATTCACCCATAATCGATGCTGGCAGGAGATGAAAAATTAAGAACAATACTAACAATTTAAAATATTTTCGCAATGCTAACTTCTAAACGCTTTTTGACACTTCTATGCATACTATTATTTATTAATGCTTCCTATTAAAAACTTACCAATAATTTTTTTGTCTATTTTTTTCCATAAATTAATTTCCGTATGTTCTTTTCCTTTTTCTGTAAACACAGGCCATTTTAACTTTATTGAAGTTTTTAGAAGATTGGGAAAAAATGTTTACTACCACAAAAACTCCTAAAGTATCTACTCCAAAGAAATCCATTTCAGAAAATTCAGTTTTAAATGAAGAAAATCCAAATAACTCCGATCCTAAAATCCCAGTATTAAAAAAATCAACTCCGAGAAGCTCAGTACCAAAAAACTCAGTATTAAAAAAATCTACTCCGAGAAGCTCAACTCCAAAAAACTTAGTTTTAAAAAAATCTACTCCGAGAAGCTCAACTCCAAAAAACTTAGTTTTAAAAAAATCTACTCCGAGAAGCTCAACTCCAAAAAACTTAGTTTTAAAAAAATCTACTCCGAGAAGCTCAACTCCAAAAAACTTAGTTTTAAAAAAATCTACTCCGAGAAGCTCAACTCCAAAAAACTTAGTTTTAAAAAAATCTACTCCGAGAAGCTCTACTCCAAAAAACTCAGTTTTAAAAAAATCTACCCCGAAAAGTTTAACTCCGAAAAATTCAGTATTAAAAAAATCTACCCCAAGAAGCTCAACTCCAACAAACTCAGTATCAAACAAAACGACTCCAAAATCCAAATCAAAAAAAAAACTTTTCCCTATATCTTCTAGTTCTATATCGGGTTTTAAAGTAACGTTACGAGCAACTTTGGAAATTTTATCTGAGTTACACAATGATTATGGATACGAATATATTCTAACATCTCGGTTAACTCAAGATAATCTTGAGGTAATAGCAATCAATAAAAAAAATTATTCCTATTTTCAGCGCATTTGCAAATTTTTATTAGTGGATAAACAGTTGAAGAAATCAAATCGGATAAGAGTAGTAATACAAAATTCACCCATAATCGATGCTGGCAGGAGATGAAAAATTAAGAACAATACTAACAATTTAAAATATTTTCGCAATGCTAACTTCTAAACGCTTTTTGACACTTCTATGCATACTATTATTTATTAATGCTTCCTATTAAAAACTTACCTATAATTTTTTTGTCTATTTTTTTCCATAAATTAATTTCCGTATGTTCTTTTCCTTTTTCTGTAAACACAGGCCATTTTAACTTTATTGAAGTTTTTAGAAGATTGGGAAAAAATGTTTACTACCACAAAAACTCCTAAAGTATCTACTCCAAAGAAATCCATTTCAGAAAATTCAGTTTTAAATGAAGAAAATCCAAATAACTCCGATCCTAAAATCCCAGTATTAAAAAAATCAACTCCGAGAAGCTCAGTACCAAAAAACTCAGTATTAAAAAAATCTACTCCGAGAAGCTCAACTCCAAAAAACTTAGTTTTAAAAAAATCTACTCCGAGAAGCTCTACTCCAAAAAACTCAGTTTTAAAAAAATCTACCCCGAAAAGTTTAACTCCGAAAAATTCAGTATTAAAAAAATCTTCCCCAAGAAGCTCAACTCCAACAAACTCAGTATCAAACAAAACGACTCCAAAATCCAAATCAAAAAAAAAACTTTTCCCTATATTTTCTAGTTCTATATCGGGTTTTAAAGTAACGTTACGAGCAACTTTGGAAATTTTATCTAAGTTACACAATGATTATGGATACGAATATATTCTAACATCTCGGTTAACTCAAGATAATCTTGAGGTAATAGTCTAAGAAATTCTATCTATTGAATGCTCAAATTTTTTCTATTATTATTATTATTATTATTAATATTATTATTGTTTATTTATAGAGATTGTTTTCTATTATGAGATACAGTTGTGGTGCCAATGATCATCCAACTCCTCAGCAGTTTGGTCAAGTTTTTCGTTTGTATTGTTGCAATGCCATGATTAAACCGCCAAAAGGTTCAAATGTAACTAGAGTTGAATTACTTCAAACTCTAATGAAGACAAAGGACTCATTGGAAATGTCTTGTCAGCCGCGAATGAAGTGGTTGGAAAAAATTGACCAAATGCTTGAGAACGCTGTACCACTTGATGCAATTTGGCAAGATAATTCATGCAACAATAACGATGGCAGTGCTATGAGTGAAAATGACTTAAGTGATACAATTACAGAATCAGAGCCAAATACTTCTATAACAGAGGAATGCATGCTTCAAGACCATGATTATGACGTTGTGTCAACAAGCCGAGAAGTTCAGGCTTACATGGCCGGTTATATCGTTAGAAAACTTAAAGCTAAGTGTAAGTGCCTATTGTGCTTGAAAAGTCTTCAATCGTCTAATAATGAATCGCATTGCCGGGACCGTTTCATTGATTTGATGGAAAAGTATGGAGGATTATCGCGAGCAAGTGACGGTTTATTTCAATTGACTGTGCAATTAGAAGCTGCTTTTTTGGACGTTGTTGGTAGAGTGGGGCTGAGTCATGGAATTATTTATAAAATATTAAACCGAGTTGAGAAAATTCTACCAACATTATCATTAGTAGGGTGTGCAGTTCATCAGCTTGAAATCACCAAAGAAATAATTGATTTTTACATAACCATAAGGCTGTATTTTCTCGGTAGAACTTTTAACAAGAGAAATCAGTTGAGAAGAGAAAAAATTAAAACTCTGAAAAAAACTTCAAAACTAGTAACATAAACTATAATTTAAACAAATCTTATTTTAAATATTCATTACTTGAATTATTATCTTCTATTTAATTAATCATTATCTCATAAATAACTTATTTTCTTTATAAAAAAAAGTTGTACGGTTAACAACATAATATTTATCTATATTAAAATTTTTCTCATTACTATTAACCTTTAAAACTTATTAAAATTATAAAAAAATTATTTCATTTCTATGAGTAAATTACATTATTAATTACATTAATATTTAAAACTAATTACGGTAAATAAGTTTTGTTGATTTTATTTAATTACTTTCTTTTTCTTAAAAAATTAATTTATTTAAATTATTTCACTAAGTACTGTTAAATAATTTAATTATTTTACTCTACTCATTTATTTATTCATTTTTTAATTAATTAATTAATTCATTCATTCATTCATTCATTGAATTGGATTCAAAATTTCTTCATTCTATCAATTCCATTTGAAACTACCGCTTTCACTCCCCGCCATTTTGGTACAAATGGAACACTAACGCCCTCTTATTTTTAGACGCTATTTTTTCGGAGTTACTCCGAAATTTCTAGTTTGACCAATTGAAACTTAAGAATTCTTCATGAGGCTTAAAAAACTGCGTAGAATGCCGCCAACTGCGTAAAAATTGTTTCATTCATTCAAAAGGTATTGCGGTTTGAAAATTCAAAAAATAGTGTTCTATGAAACTTCTATTAGACTTTTAAGCTCAAAGAGCTCACAAGCATAGAAAAGGTATCTTTGCAAAGGTATGCTTTGCATTAAAAATCGTGCTAAAGCAGTTGATTCAGCATGGAATATGTCCCAGATTTATCCGGTTGATATTTCATTATTCACCTTGTTATGTCTTATTGGCTTTATAATGGAGGACACAGCGATTAAGTTTAATAATGAGTGAGAGTTTATTAACTGTTGATTATAATAGTATGAATAATATAAAATGATTGAAGATAAGTAATGTAAATTATGGGTCACAATGTTATTACTAGGGAGGGATCCTTGGGACTAACTGTATTAGCAGTGGTCCTCTAGCTTGGGTCCGATAGGGTCATAAACCCCTTCCACAATGCTATGTACAGTATGACCTGTGACTGTCACTGTGGGAGTGGATGCCAGTATCGTTGCTATTCCAACATGTCTGAATTAAATTATTAATAAAATAATTAATCGGCAAGCGGGTCTGGAGGAGATGTTACGGCCCCGTGTAACTCGTGTGAATTTTTCTATTATTATTATTTTCTTACAAGGGAGATGTATTTTAAATGCAATACCTCTCGCACACTCACTTATCCCCACCCTCGGTACCTCAGGCCGATTCGTGTTCTTATTTTTTTCATAACAACCTGACGTCAATTTGATACCATTTTTCTACGGTAACTACTCCTATGCCGGTAAAGTAACTAACCCCAGTAGTGTAGACATCATCGACTATTCAATACGTAGAGTGTTAGTAGTGGTAGTCATGAGACATCGGTAGGATTAGTATTAGTAAAGATGTTGCACGTGTAATGCCCCACTCGACCTACTTAGCGAATTTATTACTTCCCCAAGAAATACACTGACTTCGGTACAGTCATGAAATAAGTACTAGAATCAAAGTCGGATGTTGGTTAACCCTCGCGAATCTATTCATCCAAGGTACACCTAACGTACCTTGATCTATGCTGATCATAACAAGAGATGGTCAACCTCACAACAATCGTCAGAAATCACAAGCAGGGCTTTCATATACCAGATTAGATAAGCAATGGAATCAGTATGCGCGCATCGAGTTGGCCATCGAAAAAACCACGGGAAGTATATCTTTATAACAGCTTAGACTAACCTTCAGAAACGCTGCGTTGCCGTTTGAAGCATCGAGAAGCTGAGTATTGAAAGAGACCAAGGGAATTACCTACGCGTACTGTTCCAGATAGAGTTTTAGATTCACCGGTTGTTCATGTACACCGAATTGGCCATTGCGAAGGCTACCAGAAGTATAACCTATAAGTTACATCGGTATACATCGGTTCATAATAAAGTCTAGCAACACCGAGACCTGTCCGTGCTCACCAACGTTAGGTATTGAAACGATTGCGGAAGCTATGCCTTGCGCCAATTCAGATATAGTATTTTTCTTACCTGGGGCAGGAAAATAAGAAATGTCTCAGATTACATGTAATCTGAGGCTTTCTTATTTCCTGCCCGTGGTGAGAATACTATTTTTCTCCTCGACGGAGGCGGAAAGCGGCATTTTCGTTTAGCGCAGCGAGCGGAAAATTGACGCTTTCCGCACGGAGAGGAGAAAACATTTTTTCTGAACGATAGGGACTACATTTTAGATATTGAATTAAAAATAATTTTATGCGAATAATAATTAACTATCGGGACCGACTGTGCATATAAAAACCCCATCTCGGACAATGGGAGCAGCAGTAGAAATCTTAACGTCACGAAGGTTAGTTCGTTGTTAGAAATTATAAAAGTCCTATTACCCTTGCTGCTCACAAAAAAAATATAAAAAAGTTAATTAATTAATTTAATAAACCGTCCGTTATCTAATCATACAAGCCCACTTACAAATAAATCCAAAACGAAGTGACACGTGTAGAAATCCGACAACGAAACCATTGCCGCTCGGGTTATCGGGCCCGTTAATTACCCAAGACCTTTTTTTTTTCTCTTCGCTCATCGCCCTGACATCCGAGTCGTTAAATAAGTAATAAAATTTGGATAAGAATATTCATCGGGTCGTCGTACCACAATTATTATAATCTATTCACACATACATCGAAACGAACACCCACACTCCGGAATCCCATTCAAGTTAGGACGAAGTTATAGAAGAATCGGGAGGGGTAACTGAAGTTATAAAATGCATCGCGATGCGATAATCAGTTTTTAGTCGCCAAAAATTTTTGCCACGATCATACATCTCGCAACCTCCTATTTTTACAATCTAACGAGTTACATCACTCTTTTGGTTTAATAAATTTTCAAGTTGTTGTTTGAATTGTTTTTATTCTGTTAATAATCAACCAGTCAATTATTTATCAGTGTAGTTCAAACCAGTTACATAAAATAAAATATCAATTCAAAGTAACTATTAAATAGACTTCTTTTGTTTAACATATTTCCAAGTTATTGTTTAAATTGTTTTAATCTGTTAATAATCAACCAGTCAATCATTTATCAGTGTAATCCAAATTAGTTGCATAAAATAAAATATCAATCCAAGGTAACTATTAAACAGAGTTCTTTCTTGAAATAAACCCTTAAATAACTATCATTATTAAGAAAGTTATATTTATAAATTATAATTATCAAGGAGTCCATCCGAGTACGTCAACGAGAACAGTTATTCCTCTTTAACATCGTGACTAAGAATACAGGTACATTTCTTTTATCTATTCTTTTATTTTTTTTTTATTACTCATACAAACATCTGCTGTCGCTCATCGTGCCTGACCTAACCCAAGTAATGACCCAGTTTTTAATTACTTACGCAGTGTGTAGCTTCGTGTAACCTTGACATACGATTACTCATAGGCGCGGTTCCCGCCTCCCGAGACATATAATCTTAAGTGATTAGTCTCAAATTTAAGGAACTGTCATAATCGTTACGTTATTAACATCCGGACGTAACAGAGACTCGGACAATTTTAGATAGATCTTCTCTTGCAGCTCCATTGCAAGAGTTATTTTTATGTGAATTTTCGAACGCTAACCAGTAACCGAGGTTTCTTGATGTCACGAACGGAGTGAGTGATGGGCGTAAGTCACTATCAAATAGAAATCACAAATATCCGAACGTTGTCACTTTGTTCGTTCGGGAGCTAAATTAAAAATTGCGTTGGAGTGTGGAGCGGTACACATGCTCGAACGTTATCTCTAAGTTTTTAACTTAGAAAGAGTAAGGATGATGAATCCCTGCTGCGCCCCTAGTAGAAATGTTAAATTTTTCACTCGATCAAATCTAGTATCTGGCTAGCGATCATATCTAGTAACTGGCTAGCAATAAAATCCAGTAATTGGCAAGTGAAACTAGGTAAAAACTGAAAATTGCGCCTCCTACAACTCAATCGTAGACATTGGTCACACTGATGTTTTATTTATACTAGTGTGTGTATGTTTATTTTTTCACTGTAACCTGTAAGTTGAATTATATTTAGTAAATATTAAGAAATAGTGTAAATAAGTAACAAAAATTGTGTATTTCAATATAAAAATAATCGGTAATATCCAGAAAAAGTGGTGAGAAAACCATCATAAAAGATTTTAATGTTGTAGAATGTTTAAACGAAGTTTTTATAGCCAACAATTGTGGTAATCCATCCGATATTTTACAAGCTGTGGGAGTAATTTTAAGTAATGCAAAAAATTAGGAGGACAGTCGCAAAAAATAAACGTTAAAAAATATATGTTTATTATTTTACGTCATGACTTCGGTCACGAGTAACCTATTCTATTGTTTAATTGATATCTTATTTGTAATAGAGATCTTATTTTATTTAATTATATAACTTGATTCAAAGTAAAAAGAATATAATTCTGTGATTTGAATTTATTGAGACAAACCAGTTAGAGTTATAAATTTGGGTTTACTAATATAAATGGTAAATAAATATACCATACATAACATAAAAATGAACATAAATGTTAGATATAAAAGATAAGTTTATAAAATAATGTTTTGTACGCTTACCTTGGAAGTCTGCTCTTTAAGAGTGGCCCAAGTTTTATGGGACTTTAACCTTCTAGGGGTATTGTTCACTACCGAATCACCGTATCTCGGATTTTTCGGAGAAGTTAAGTAATTTAGATAATGAATTTAAATGTAATCGACGCTTTTAGCGGAAATAATTTTATTAAATGAAATTTCGCAATTCTCGTGATAAAAATCCTTAAATCTAATCCATGCTCTTCGGCGGAAAATACACTTCGCGATTCACGCAGACAAATCAACATGCTTTTGGCGGAAAATAATAATCTTCGCGATTTACGCTCCATTGT